TCACTATTCCAGTAATGTAGTTCAAGGTCTAGGTAAATTATACTATAAAATAAAAGATTTTCAAATTCATTTCACAAATTTGTTATAACTGTGAGACGGCAGCAGATTAGAGGGGAGCGAATTATCGATCGGACCAAAGACGCGCAAACACGTAGAACGACCTAAGGTTCTGATTGGTCCCGCTTCGCTATCTAGCCCAGCAGTTGAGTTCAGAACGCTAGTCACAGCCTCGGATGTATGAATCATTATATTTCAAACATACTTTGTTTATATACCAGTCAATCAGACCACAACGTACCATAAAATAGAAAATAACATTGTACAATATTGACCAGTAGGAAAATAACACGTGAAATAAGTACTAACCAATTAGGAAATCATACCATGTCCAAGTCCAAGAATAGCATTAGACTTAATAGGATAATTTCTGGGATATTTTCCTGAATATCCCAACAATTTCTCGTTTACTATACATCTTTGTATCTAGATATATAATGTTATTTCTATAGATGAAAACAATCAATCAAAACTTGATAACCAATACCTGTTTCGGTTTGTACACCCGGACAGTATCACAACCCTCACGTATATCACATGATATTTATGTAACGAATATGTATTTGGTTCCTTCTTATACCAATATCGATATGTTAAAATAAATTAATGATATAACCAATAGACATTGTAGAAAAAGATGGTGTCCAATATAACTTTCTATGTGATTGACAGGTAGTTATTAAACACTTAAATCAATCTAATAAAAAGTTATTAGAAGAAAAGTTTATCAATTTGAAACAACTCTGCATTATATACTATTAGTTGACCAATCTCTAAAGAGAGGGAAAAAGACAGTAATTACGAAAAGCGTACAAACATGTACTAGTTCAAGCCGACCCACTATTTTAAATGATAAAGTAGAAATATATATTAAAATGAAGAAGATAAACACGCTCAGACATAAAAGAAAAGGATATTGAGATTTTAGAATACAAAAGATAACATTTTCAACTTCAAATAATAGCCAAAACGGACTGATAGCACATGGCAGTCAATTCAGTCCTAGCCGCTCTATGACTTCTAAATTCATCAGAATAGTAGGAATAATCATAAGAGGGGACTCATCGCATGTTAAAAGAATACTACCAAGTTACCTTAGTCGATTTATTATCATTAGGAAATCCACGAACAAATAGTTTCTGACCATTATGGAAGGCGACAGGCGCGAAGAAATGACGAATATCATTTGAACCATGAACTGACCAATGACAGATCAATATAGGAAACCTGGAAGTACTAAACGGCAGTTCCATTCTAGGACGAGACTCCTCAACATTGCACATCCACGATCCCGCAGGCAGGACTCAAACACAGGGCCTTCGGTTCCGCTCAAGCACTTAACCCCTAGACCACTGAGCCGACATCCAATAGTGTTAATGTCTAATCTCAACCAATCCACGATAGTGCGCAGTCATCTCCCATTGTCTTCGGTGGGTAAATCCCTCGCACACGACAGTTTAGCTCCATTAGTCACGCTTCTCACTAGAACTCGGAAAATTCCCTCTTGAAGATACTCATTAGTGAGGGTATGATAATTTTTTGTATGACGTTGTGGAGATTGTTGAATTTCATTGAGATCATGAACCTGTCAACCATCTTCACGATTCAGTCCAACTGTCGAAGCCTTCGTGGATTGATGGCACGAGCTTTCTTCCAACCTGCTTCTACAGAAGATCGCTTATCGTGGTAAGTGATGATCAGGTATATACATTTCCTAATCACCTAAGTTGAGGATTCACTGCCTTACCGATCAATTTTCCATATTTACATCGTTCTTTAAGCCTTTGACATTACTCACTCGGTGATCCGAAAATACACAGGCGATGCTCCAAAGACACCTATGATCGAATACCAGTATCTACAAATATTCTATTTTTAATAACCATGTTTCACATCCATAATGTAGAACAAAGAGAATTGATGAGCAGTAAACACATCCTTTTGTTGGTAGATAGGTATCTAACCTAAGTGACAAGTGATTCGAGTTGGCGAAGGCTAATCAAGCCCTCCAAATCCAAGCTGTGACAACACTTGTGTCAGCTATAAAAACATTTGACATACCACTTCCATATTGCATAGTTTGATTCCTTCATCAGGTAACATCTTCGAGAGATAAGTGAATTCAACAGGCACATGAAGCACTCGAAACGCAAATCGAATTCGAGTGCAATTGAGACACTGTCTACGTACTAGAGCGAATAAGACTTCTGAGTCACACAAAAGTTTAAACAACCGGTTCCAAATAAAATCCACTATATATATTTCTCACTTGTCTACTTTACTCGACGAACAATATATTTTATAAGTGAAAAAGCTTTCAATTATAATTTCCCATCCTGGTGTGATACTGCTTGATGGAATATGAAATCCCAGCAATAATTCATATTCGTCAAAACATTTTAGGAGCTATATCATCATCACTCTCCATAATGCATTCAGAGGATTAGCAACTTACAAGTACTTTTTAGCTTAAGGGCGGTTTGAAATATCTAGACTTATAATTGAATAAACTGAAAAGGATTCACAAACCTATTTAAGACCTTAACTTCATATAAGAACGTCATGTTATCGATAAAGGAAATAGAATGTCTCTCATCTTTATTATCATCAATCACATCGTGTTTGCATAGTCAATACTAACAAATGTCCAGGAAATTCAGGAAATAAAATGTAGAATATGTAAGAAGTAAAGTCTACGAGTTTCATTGAGCGGTATGAATTTGAGGTATGCATTATAAGTATATTAACAATGCGATGTTACTCAGTCGAATATAGCGGAGAGCCTGGCACATGTGTTTCAACATAAGTTGTCACCCTAAATCAGTACAGAGGGATGAAATTATCAAGGCATTCCATGGTAATAACAGTATCAGTGGAAGTGGGGAACACTAAATATAGACGATCCGAGAATAAATTCATGGGAATAAAACGTATATAATTTCAAAACTCAGGATTTAAGAGAACACAAGGAGTGAATGCATCTATGACATTGCGGCCTATTCTGACCAATGTCACTGTCTCCAACTACTGGTTACGATGATTGCGATGTCATAAAACTTTGTCGTTAGATAGTTTGGACACTTATTATACATCGACTTAAAGGCGTAATGATGAATGGTCTATACCAGATGGAAGCCATCGGCAGGTCAAACAGAAAACTGGACTGAGTCGTGTCGATATGTGCAGTTTGACTAGTTGGAATTTGCAGGATCGACATGAATTTAAATCATAGATTACCTGGGATGGTACAAAACTCATTACAGTAAACCAGTCTCATTTATGTTGTATCTACCTGCAAATCTTATTTTTAAAATCACGGAATTTTTCAATCTTATATGTTTTTTAATGCATGATCACATTAGAAATAAAACTCAACGTAATTATGCAACTGTGCCCTAATGTATACATTAGATCATCTTCAACATTTCGCCATGATCGGTAAAACTAACCAGATACACTTGAAATACCTTTCTCGAAGAATAGTACCCATAATTAAATTGCTAAGTTGTTGCAAATCTTAAGATGCATAGTTATCTCAACTAAAGTTGTTTACTGATATTGAACATTGCATATCTGAAAATGTCCTAAACAGAGAATTAAATGTTCATTCACACAACTCTTAACCTAATATTATAATTTTAAAAAAACGCAGCTATTGTATTTCACCATCAATGACTTCTATGTTACAAATGATAGGAAACTGGCTTATAGTACATGACGTAGTATAATTGCTAGTCTAATAATCTATTCTATTTAGTACACAACTAAAATCCTAGATTTAACTTTTTTTGAAATACCTAACAAATCATTCAATAAACACTTCAAAAGTATGATTTACATTTTAGGTCAATTAGAACCCAGCGCATAAAGGTAAATTATCAATAGCGATTTCTTGCTCAGACTGTATAAACAGAACAATTACTAGATAATAAAAACTTATGTCAGAAGAGTTTTTGTGGATATTATAGTAATTTCAATAGTTGAGATCATGAGTCAATTGAATCTAGATCACTATGGAAAATCTGGAAGCACTAAATAGCCGTTTCGTCCTATTATAGGACTCTTTAGCAGTGCGCATCCACGACCTTGCCCCCTGCGAGATTCGAACCCAGGACCTATCTGTCTTGTGTGCGACCACTTAACCTCTAGACCGCTACTGAGCCGGTATCCAACGGTGTTAATAGTCATGGTCATAGAGATGAATAAACTGAAGTACTCTACACAATACTTGATTGAACATGTTTCCAGTAAATGAAGATCACTTAGACCTTATAATGAACAATATACAACAGATACCGACCGTAGCTATTACCTTGACGCGGTGGTCGGGCTTGCCCACCGTGATGACCCAACCGAGCTATATTGGCTGGAACATATGTTCCTGTAGGTTCTACCAGGCCAGGCGAGTCGATTGGAGAACGGTAAGACTAAAAGCAGCAACTCAAGGTCTGAGGGCGAAGTCATACGGCTGACTGTAGAGGGGTGTGACATCAGTAAGGTGTTTCCCTCGGACAACCAGCATCGGCAGCGATGCTGCCTTCTCACAAGGAAGGAAGAAGTTAGAAAAGGTCGACCCTAGAGATGTCACACCTCACGGATTTCCGTCTCCGGCGGTAAGGCTCTTTGAAGAACGGAGCTAACACGTCAAAAACCTCCCACAAAAAAAGCCGTGCACAACCGGCCTCAAACAGGTTTCCCTTAGGTTGTGGTCACGCTCCCAGGTCGTTAAGATCAACATTAATTCAACTTCCTTTTCAGGTTTCTCAAGAAATACACTTCCATGATGTGGGCAGCTGGGAAGTGACACCAGCCCTCATACTCGTAACAGCACACTGACTGAATATACAACAGATATATATATATATATATATATATATATATATATATATATATATATATATATATATTGCTTGACGATTAGCATTTCTGAAGAAAACAAAAATGAATGCAACAATAAAATCTAAACATAGAAATGATTAGAAATAAAAGTTGACATCAATCATCATCATAACAATAATGACAATGTATAATATATTGTATTAACAATAAGATAACAAATATACACTTAAAGCATTATATATAATAAATACAAACATGTATAGATTATATACAACATCAATTTTAACAGTATAACATAAGTGGACAGTAAATATAGATAGATAGATTCAGTTTAAAAGAATAATAATAAAAACGAAATAAATTACAGTAATATTGTAATAAGAATTAACATAAAACCATGAATGAATATGTTAACTAACTAATAAACATTAGTATTTAATCGTATTGGTAAATGTTGTTGCTCTAGACAGTTTACTAATACCACCACTACTACTACTAATAGTATTAATAATAGTAACTATGGTAATAACAAGTGATATATATATGGTACTCTTTGAATGGAATAAAAATAATAGATTGTTCCTTTGAATAAGTAATACACTAAACATAAAGGTGTTAAAAATAGATAAACTTTTTGTTGTTGGTTATATAAGAATTAATGAATAAAAGTATTATTTATTTCTATAGATTGTTTGTTGCTGTCTGTTTTTTTCTTGAACGAGTTTGACGAATTGAAACTGGTGATTGTTTGGCTTGAGATGATTTTGATGCTACTGATCTACTATTATTATTATTAGTAGTAGTGGTCTTTAATTTCGACTTATTACTGATTTTAGAAGTTGATATTTTTTCTTCAATTGGTTGACTTATTTCTGAAGAAGTAGTTATTAACTTACGAGAACGAAGAACACGTTTTTTTGGTGAAACATTAGCTATATTATCAACAGGCGTAACAGAAATGCGTTTAATATGTCGTGAATTTGTTTTAACCTTTAATGTTGTAATATTTTTAGATTCATTAGTTGAAGCAGATTTTGAAGATGAAGTAGTTGGAAGTAGTTTTGATTTTGAAGTGATTAGCTGTTTACGGTTTGGAGGATTATTTGTCTTGGTACCATTTTTCTTCTTCTCCTCACCAGGTTGGTTTTTCCCGGATAAAGATTTTTCTTCATTTTGTGTGTGTTCAGATGTTATACATTTAATATCCAACTGATCGATTCTACTCCGTAGACGTTTGGCCAATGGAATACTAGAAGAGACTCTACGCACTTCAGCTAGTCTCTTTATAGATCTTTTTGAGGTGTTGTTTGCAGGCTTCGTTGCATTGACCGAATGATCGAGCAGAGAATCAGGAAACTGCGAATGCACGGTGGAAACGTTCTTCTTGGTTTTTGACCTAGTTTTCGACGGTTGTATGGCAACCTCATTATTCGATTGAGATACAACTTTTCTAGAGGATGTTTTCATCACGGAACTCTTACCGGAACTGCCTTTAGCGGCAGATTCACTAATCAAAGGGTCCGGTACTTTAACTGCACGTCGAGTACGACTAGATGACAAGCATTCAATACTTGATGGGATCCTTCTATTACGGAGAGACCTTGCGACAGGAACAACAGAATCACACTCACGATCCTTAGACGTGTTCGAGCTAAAGGATATCGTAGGATGTGAGTGCTCAATAAAACTCATTTTCAAAAGTGCAGATTGATCACATAAATTTGACATATCATTAGAAGTCAACCGAGATGTAAGTGGGAGAGTCTTCCCTTTCCGAGAATGACTTTCCATCACATTATTCGGAAACGGAACAACCACTTCAGTGAGTTCTTTCGACATCCCTTTATCCAGAGACTTTACAACATTCATCGAACGATCTGAAAGAGAATCAGGATACTGTGAATCTTTGGTGGAAACGTTTCTCTTGGTTTTTGACCTAGTTTTCGACAGCTGTACGGCGACTTCATTAGTCGATTGAGATGTCAATTTTCCAGAAAATCTATTCAAAATGGAACAATCAGAATTAGCAGATTTATCCACTGAAGACTTCGCTATATTACCACGACGAGTACGAATGGATGAAAAAGACTCAACAAGGTCAGAACGTTTTCTCATAGAACACTTGTTAACCACGTAATTACAATCAAAACCACATTTACATTTAGAGAGCAAACAACGACACGATTTACAACGCCTACGACACAATGAAGAAACACCAGATAGTTTCCGTGAACTCGAATGCACGTTAACACTAGATTCCTCGACAAACAGTTCACTAACACCAGATATACGAGGTGTTTGCACAGGCTTCGGAGTTCTCATCAACTTCCTAACACCAGTCAAACCAGATTCCTTTCGTGGAGACAACAAAATCTTCTCAGGTGTAACAGCTTCCTCCTCTGTCAAGTTGGTCGGTGGCACTGATGAGGGTCGACCACGACGTCTCTTCACACTAGGTTCATCGACAAACAGTTCACTAACACCAGATATACGAGGTGTTTGCACAGGCTTCGGAGTTCTCATCAACTTCCTAACACCAGTCAAACCAGATTCCTTTCGTGGAGACAACAAACTCTTCTCAGGTGTAACTGCTTCCTCCTCTGTCAAGTTGGTCGGTGGCACTGATGAGGGTCGACCACGACGTCTCTTCACACTAGGTTCATCGACAAACAGTTCACTAACACCAGATATACGAGGTGTTTGCACAGGCTTCGGAGTTCTCATCAACTTCCTAACACCAGTCAAACCAGATTCCTTTCGTGGAGACAACAAACTCTTCTCAGGTGTAACTGCTTCCTCCTCTGTCAAGTTGGTCGATGGCACTGATGAGGGTCGATCACGACGTCTCTTCACACTAGGTTCATCGACAAACAGTTCACTAACACCAGATATATGAGGTGTTTGCACAGGCTTCGGAGTTCTCATCAACTTCCTGACACCAGTCAAACCAGATTCCTTTCGTGGAGACAACAAACTCTTCTCAGGTGTAACTGCTTCCTCCTCTGTCAAGTTGGTCGGTGGCACTGATGAGGGTCGACCACGACGTCTCTTCACACTAGGTTCATCGACAAACAGTTCACTAACACCAGATATACGAGGTGTTTGCACAGGCTTCGGAGTTCTCATCAACTTCCTAACACCAGTCAAACCAGATTCCTTTCGTGGAGACAACAAACTCTTCTCAGGTGTAACTGCTTCCTCCTCTGTCAAGTTGGTCGGTGGCACTGATGAGGGTCGACCACGACGTCTCTTCACACTAGGTTCATCGACAAACAGTTCACTAACACCAGATATACGAGGTGTTTGCACAGGCTTCGGAGTTCTCATCAACTTCCTAACACCAGTCAAACCAGATTCCTTTCGTGGAGACAACAAACTCTTCTCAGGTGTAACTGCTTCCTCCTCTGTCAAGTTGGTCGGTGGCACTGATGAGGGTCGACCACGATGCCTCTTCACACTAGGTTCATCGACAAACAGTTCACTAACACCAGATATACGAGGTGTTTGCACAGGCTTCGGAGTTCTCATCAACTTCCTGACACCAGTCAAACCAGATTCCTTTCGTGGAGACAACAAACTCTTCTCAGGTGTAACTGCTTCCTCCTCTGTCAAGTTGGTCGGTGGCACTGATGAGGGTCGACCACGACGTCTCTTCACACTAGGTTCATCGACAAACAGTTCACTAACACCAGATATACGAGGTGTTTGCACAGGCTTCGGAGTTCTCATCAACTTCCTAACACCAGTCAAACCAGATTCCTTTCGTGGAGACAACAAACTCTTCTCAGGTGTAACTGCTTCCTCCTCTGTCAAGTTGGTCGGTGGCACTGATGAGGGTCGACCACGATGCCTCTTCACACTAGGTTCATCGACAAACAGTTCACTAACACCAGATATACGAGGTGTTTGCACAGGCTTCGGAGTTCTCATCAACTTCCTAACACCAGTCAAACCAGATTCCTTTCGTGGAGACAACAAACTCTTCTCAGGTGTAACTGCTTCCTCCTCTGTCAAGTTGGTCGGTGGCACTGATGAGGGTCGATCACGACGTCTCTTCACACTAGGTTCATCGACAAACAGTTCACTAACACCAGATATATGAGGTGTTTGCACAGGCTTCGGAGTTCTCATCAACTTCCTAACACCAGTCAAACCAGATTCCTTTCGTGGAGACAACAAACTCTTCTCAGGTGTAACTGCTTCCTCCTCTGTCAAGTTGGTCGGTGGCACTGATGAGGGTCGACCACGACGTCTCTTCACACTAGGTTCATCGACAAACAGTTCACTAACACCAGATATACGAGGTGTTTGCACAGGCTTCGGAGTTCTCATCAACTTCCTAACACCAGTCAAACCAGATTCCTTTCGTGGAAACAACAAACTCTTCTCAGGTGTAACTGCTTCCTCCTCTGTCAAGTTGGTCGGTGGCACTGATGAGGGTCGACCACGACGTCTCTTCACACTAGGTTCATCGACAAACAGTTCACTAACACCAGATATACGAGGTGTTTGCACAGGCTTCGGAGTTCTCATCAACTTCCTAACACCAGTCAAACCAGATTCCTTTCGTGGAGACAACAAACTCTTCTCAGGTGTAACTGCTTCCTCCTCTGTCAAGTTGGTCGGTGGCACTGATGAGGGTCGACCACGACGTCTCTTCACACTAGGTTCATCGACAAACAGTTCACTAACACCAGATATACGAGGTGTTTGCACAGGCTTCGGAGTTCTCATCAACTTCCTAACACCAGTCAAACCAGATTCCTTTCGTGGAGACAACAAACTCTTCTCAGGTGTAACTGCTTCCTCCTCTGTCAAGTTGGTCGGTGGCACTGATGAGGGTCGACCACGATGCCTCTTCACACTAGGTTCATCGACAAACAGTTCACTAACACCAGATATACGAGGTGTTTGCACAGGCTTCGGAGTTCTCATCAACTTCCTGACACCAGTCAAACCAGATTCCTTTCGTGGAGACAACAAACTCTTCTCAGGTGTAACTGCTTCCTCCTCTGTCAAGTTGGTCGGTGGCACTGATGAGGGTCGACCACGATGCCTCTTCACACTAGGTTCATCGACAAACAGTTCACTAACACCAGATATATGAGGTGTTTGCACAGGCTTCGGAGTTCTCATCAACTTCCTAACACCAGTCAAACCAGATTCCTTTCGTGGAGACAACAAACTCTTCTCAGGTGTAACTGCTTCCTCCTCTGTCAAGTTGGTCGGTGGCACTGATGAGGGTCGACCACGACGTCTCTTCACACTAGGTTCATCGACAAACAGTTCACTAACACCAGATATATGAGGTGTTTGCACAGGCTTCGGAGTTCTCATCAACTTCCTAACACCAGTCAAACCAGATTCCTTTCGTGGAGACAACAAACTCTTCTCAGGTGTAACTGCTTCCTCCTCTGTCAAGTTGGTCGGTGGCACTGATGAGGGTCGACCACGACGTCTCTTCACACTAGGTTCATCGACAAACAGTTCACTAACACCAGATATACGAGGTGTTTGCACAGGCTTCGGAGTTCTCATCAACTTCCTAACACCAGTCAAACCAGATTCCTTTCGTGGAAACAACAAACTCTTCTCAGGTGTAACTGCTTCCTCCTCTGTCAAGTTGGTCGGTGGCACTGATGAGGGTCGACCACGATGCCTCTTCACACTAGGTTCATCGACAAACAGTTCACTAACACCAGATATACGAGGTGTTTGCACAGGCTTCGGAGTTCTCATCAACTTCCTGACACCAGTCAAACCAGATTCCTTTCGTGGAGACAACAAACTCTTCTCAGGTGTAACTGCTTCCTCCTCTGTCAGGTTGGTCGATGGCATTGAAGATGTCCCTTGATTTTTTTTGTCTTCCTGTGTAATATTTAGCAGGCTATGAGGAACACTGGAGTATAGTTTGTTGTAGTTGTTATTATTATAAGTTTTCGCACTGTAGGTATGGAAGCTTTTTGACTTTTTCTCCTGAATTTTAGCATTATGTTCGTTTGTTGATTTGTTTATTTTATTTTGTTTGGTTGATACAGGACTAGTTGGTGGGACTCTCGGTGACGGTGTTTTACTTGTTTTCTCTAGGAACCCAAGTGAATGTCTTTTGAAATTTTTTCGGCTGACTGAGGATTTTTTTATTGGAGCAGAGTAAGCTGCGGAAGTCACTGGGAAATTAGCGAAACTCTCATGAGCACAACTAATATCAGTACTCAAGGAATTTAGAAGATTAGTGTCTGGTGTTGGAGGGAGAGAGATGACTGCAGAAACTCGATTATGTGTTACACTGTAATTTGGAGATTCACATGTTTTTGAGAAATCTGATAAATGCGATACTTCTGACAATTTGGAAGCAAATGGTGTAGCTGAGTGCCCAACAGCTGAAGTGACTTGTAAACTATGGTTTGCTGGGGTACTGTGAGTTAGTTTGACTAGTGGAGTTCCACCTCGCTTAACCGGAGTAGACGGAGGTAGAGATTTATCAAATCGTTCAGGGCTTAAGGGTGGGCCGAATGAAACCCCCCTCCGACGTTTAGGAGTAAGTATGTCCTCTGCAACTGGATAAGTTTTACCGGATATGGTACGTTTTCTATTGCGATTAATCAATTCTTGTTCTGTTTCTGGTGAATATGCTATGCTAATTTTCTGCGATGACTTTGCAGACAATTTCCTCGTAACCCTCAGGGAATTCGGTGATGTGGGCAACTCTGGAATATATTCACGGGAACCTTCTGTGGGATGACCAACGCATTTATCGTAGCATGATTGGTTTTCTTGTTCATTAGATGGTGATCTCTTGCTTTCAATCACCTGCTGCTTTACATAACTTAATTCATCATAAAACTGATTAATTTTGCAAAGGTTGGATTGGTTAGATGATTCATTTAAGATGAGAAGCTTATGGAAACTCTTTCTAAAACCGGGTGAACGTTTATTTTCGTTTGGTGTGAAGTTGAAGTGATCATTAGATAAAGTAGATGTAATAATCGGAGTGTGAATACGGTTTTGTGACCTCACTTTGATAGATGACAAAACACTGCTCGAGGGATGGAATGTTGGATCTGGCAAGTCAGGAACGACAGACGACTTTGTTTGATTTGATTTAGAAACACTCACATCTGTACAGCTATAACCCTTACCATCACCTACACTTTTTTTATTAAACTCGGCATTTTCTGCTTGCAATACAGGTAGTTGCTTTGACTGTGATGAATTCGGTTCGTGTCGGAGTACTTGGATTATTGGTGGGGTAGCTGGTTGACGAGGAGGAACTGGACCATAACGTTCGTTGGTCCCTAGGGTTCTTTTCGGAGTCACAGACCTCTGTCGAGGGGAGCGAGTTTTAGGATTAACTAATATTTTTCTAGGAGTGGTACGTTTGGATGGATGAACAACAGGTAGAGAAGTTGGAGTTATAACCTCTTCTTTGCTATAGTGTTTTGGTGTTTTACTGGACGTTTCGTATAAATAATTATTTGTTGTTGCCTTTCGACTCTGAAATTAGGGTAAACAAATTGCAATGCACGTATTATATTATTATATTAGCAAGAATATTTTTGTTATTATTACTTCCCGAATGAGAGGAAACTTCCATAAAAACATGTTAACTAGGTGAAAGTTTGTTACTCATGCACATAAACTAAATTTGCTTATTTCACAAGGTTGAAAGAGTAACTAACGTGCTACCAATTAGACTGCTGTATCTAACAGTTATTTCCACAAGTCATAATGAGTTAATTAAACTGTCAACTTGTCTGAACCCTGTATCACAGGGTAGGATTCAGATAAATGATGTGATTGAAAATCACAACTTCCGTAACTAGAAATGTGCCGTTAAATTTTATTTACACGTTTTAAGAATCAACTCTCCAAAATAAGTTTACGTATTTTGATGTGCTCATCTGAAAGGTCACTATACTACACTGAAGAGAAACTAATGTGTTTAATCAAAATTATAAACAAGTCAGCAAATGAGTGAAGTATTAAACCAGGTGTATAACTTAGAAAATAGGAATTATTTGTACAACTGTGACATGTTTTTTAATGTCACGGAGATTCGCTATTTCCAGAAAATTACTCGGGGATATTACATCATTTTAAGTCTTAAACAGTTTGTGAGTCTACAAGCTATATATTACATTATAGTCTATTTAGCTTTTGCTATTTAGAACCAAGTGCCTTTTGAGACTGAGAACATTCAACACTACATAAAGTATTGCCTGTATTTTTCCAGAGAACTAGAATAAACAATCACATCATTCAGGAATTACATTTCGGCATAAGCGAATTACTTCTGAAATCGTTAAGCATAAGTGCATCCGCCAAACTCCACTGTGAATCATAAACACATGGTAAGACCAGAGTAAAAGAATTATACATATATATCACAGATTGAAATCATGAGTCAATTGAAGCTAGACCACCAAGAAAAACCTGGAAGCACTGGACGGTCATTTCGTCCTAGTATGGGACTCTTCAGCAGTGCGCATCCACGATCCTGCACCCCGCGAAACTCGAACCCAGGACCTATCAGTCTCACGCCAAGCGCTTAAACATTAGACCACTGAGCCGGCATGCAACGGTCTAACTTCAATCTGTGAAATTTCTAAAATCTCCATAAAACCCATTCTGATAATAAACATCTGCTTACTAGTGACTGACTTCAAGAGATACTCATGGAGTTCTAGTGAGGAGCCGTTACCAGTGGGGTTCAACCAGGTCTGTTGTGAGATAGGAACTCATTGAATACAATGGTGTACGATGGCGCAACTTCGTGGATTGGTTGAAGTTAGACATTAACACCGTTAGATGCCAGCTTAGTGGTATAGTTGGTTAAGCACTTGGCGCGAGACTGATAGGGCCTGGGTTCGAATCTCGCGGGGTGCGGGACCTTAGATGCGCACTGCTGAGGAGTCCCATACTATGACGAAACGGCCGGCCAATGCTTCCAGGTTTTTCATGGTGGTCTAGCTTTAATTGACTCATGATTTCAATCTGTGAAATTTCTAAAACCTCTACAAAACCCATTCTGGTATATATATATATATATATATATATATATATATATATATATATATCAATTTACTTTATTTATTTAAACGTAAATATTGGTACAAAGGGACACAATACTTTACATGCGCCAAACAGTAAAGAAACAAATTTGTGACGAGATAGAGAAAAAAGAGTGAGCACAATGAAAAAATTAATAGGAATCAGTGTGAGAGAAAAAATGATGGGAGCAATTCAGTTAAGAAAAATGAAACCAGAAAGAATTCTCTCGATTCAAGTTCGTCTCAAATAAAGCGAAAGAAAATTACAACAGGATCGCCACCGGCTTCTGTTCTGAGTCATGCCTAAAGCCCCAACCAGGGAATCGTGAAGGACCAACAGTGGCCAGCCCTATACAGATTTCTTTCATACCACGACACCATGTCGTACATCGATCACCTTTTTTACAACTAGTCTCAGCCTCTGGAAAAAAATGCGCGAAATGGAATTCTCTGAGACGACATTAGTACTATATGCCCAAGCCTCCGAAGTTGGTGACACTAATTGAATTATCGTCGTTGTGCTCAAACACATGCGTTTATCCGGGAACCCTATGGTTTGGCTTTGCTGGCGTTGGTATCGCATTAAACGCTGAAGCTGATGCATTGCCAGTCGATTGGGTCCCCATTAACAGTCGGTTTTGTGCTGTTAGATTAGGAATTTCCATCAAAGTGAGATATTGGTGTGAGAAACCATGCTTTTTCATCATTTCCGCCTACTCTCCGACAGATTTCAGCTCAGATGCGATCAAGAATGAATTTTATTACCAGTTAAGTGTTTTTCTACATAAAACGCGTTCGACAGGTATTGTAGTACTAGCCAAAGACCTGAATGCACAGATTAGGCGTCTAGACATAGAAGAGGAACGTTTGGGTGGCCGATGGGGACTTGCAGGTCTCAGATCAGATAACGGTGACCATCTACTGCAACTCTTTTCAGACTAAAACCTGTTTCTGCCTAGCACCAACTATCGGCAGTCATCCTTGATGTGAAACCTAGCGTCATCCGTCTACATATCAAGCCTGGACTCGGAGAACAGATTGCCCACAAATGCCCTGGTACGGCCGAGAGTAAGGAGTCCGCTCTCCCTCTCGAAATGCTCTCACATGGCCACGTGTATATAGCCTCTGCCACAGAAATCCTACTCACTGCCTCCTCGTGGCGGGCGTGTTGTTTATGAAAATGAGAGGACGAAAAGCGAATGTCCAGTGCTTTAACCAGATTCCAAGTCAATGATACACATGGGCTCCAGTATCCTGTGGGAACAAGTGACGTATGAACCAATTGTTGGTCACCAGCCGCCATGGGACTGCATCTCCTTATGCTGCTCCACTGCCTTGTGGATCAGACTTTCAGGTCGAAGGCTCGGGGAGTGGCCCCCCAAGGAAACCATCTGCCTCGGTTTGGGCACCCGGGCAGTATCACAGCCCTCACACATATCGAGTGAGATTTGTGTGGCGCATATGTATTTGGTGCCTCCTTGTACCAATATCTATGTGTTAAAATAAACAATAAAATAAACAGATTGATCACATCGCTATCAGTTACCGCTGGCGTGGTTATGTAATAGACTGCCGCTCCTTTTGGATTACTTACTCCGACCATGTCCTGGTCTGCGCTTATCTTATCTTACGTTTCCGTGATCAACAAATTCATCGCCCTGAACGGATTGATGTAAGCAAATTGGTTGCAGCTTCTGTTGAAACTAAATATCAAACGGAGCCAGGTTTAAGGTTAGCTGTCAATTCACAGAGAAGTATAGATGAGCATTTGTCGCATTTACATCACGCTGCGCAAATGGCGAGTAAAGTTGCTTGTCGTTTCGACAAACGTCCCGCTTGTAAGCACTGAGATTTTACAGACTCCTTACAAATCGTTGAAACACGTTATTCTACTACGTCTACAGCGAGTTTGAACATAAACGAAGATAGTTACGCAACGAAATTGTGCAAAGTTTGCGTATTGACCGAGAAGCTTGGTGGTCGGAGTGTGTTAACGAGTTAGAAGCAGCAGGTACATCTGGTAACTACCAGAAAATCTTTCAACTTATCCGAGTTAATGGCAGCAAGAAGTTTGGGGTGAATGAAATAATCTGTGAAGGTAATAGGATACCAATTAATAACATCTACCGACGCCTTGGAAAACGGGCAGAGTTTTCCGAGGGATAGTTCTATCGGTACGTTGCCCCAGGGACATTGATCAAATTACCCTATCCTCCATGGCCGGTGACGACTGACCCGCCTAACGAGGCAAAAGTCCGCAAAGAAATCCAACTTTCGAAGCTCCACAAATCACAAGGCCTAGATGACTTGACTTTTCAAAAATGGTGGCGACCTCCTGGTTAAGGGACTGAGTCGTTTACATATGTCTGGTAGTTAGACTGTTCCAATATCGTGGGATGAGTTTATAGTTACTCCTACCTTTAAAAATGATCCATATAATGTATGCAACAATTTTCGGCGGATAAGTCTACCTCCGATCGCATCCGAACTGATGACTTCCGTCATACTTCGTAGATTATTCAAAACCCGAGATTGACTTTCGAAGAGCAGGCTGCTTTTCGTTCTGATCGAGGATGTATTGATCATATCTTCACCCTCCGCAAATGCTAAAACACCACCAAACTTATCACAGGTCAACAGTCGTAATGTTTCTTGATATTAGGGCTCCCTTTGATTCGTTGGATAGGACTGTTTTTGGGATTGTTTATTGAAGTGTGTCTGAAAAATTTATGAACATCATGAAAGCCCTATATACAAACATCTCAGGCAGAGTGAGAGCATACAACCACCTCTCTCCATTGTTACATTCAAGCAGTGGGGTTAGGCAGGGTTGCCCAACCTCACCATTCCTCTCCAATTTTGCTATCGATAGCGCTCTAGAAACAGCTCTGATGGATGTAGGTAATGGTGGTGTGGATCTGCTGCCTGGAAAAAGACTTCTCGACCTTGAGTATGTGGATGATATTGTCTTACTGAGTGATGATACCCAAACCATACAGTCCGCACTTAATCAGTTGGCAATTAGTGTCCGTAGGTATGGTCTGTGTTTTGCACCTTCGAAGTGCAAAGTACTTTTACAAGACTAGCAGGACCCTGAACCTGCACTCATCTTGAATCGTTAGCAGACAGTAGTCGGGAAGTCCGTGTATCTGGGTAACTGAGTAAACGCTGGTGATGGCCTGAGTGATGAGAATAATTCACGTATAGTGAAAGCTAGAGCGGCTAATGCTAATCTGGGCTATCGTTGGCTCCGTCATTAGTCTGGCTGTAAAATGCGTTGCTGAGAGCAGTTTTGCCGTATGTTTGTGAAACCTCGCCTCTCCGAGTCGATGATGGTAGACGACTCTGTGATCATCGTTGTCTGCGAAGGATTGCTGACATCCAGTAGCGAAATCATGTTAGTAATGCAGAAGTTCGGCATTGTGTATCCAAGTACACCATCTTGAAACACTGACTTCTGTGGTTTGGACACGTCCTATGAATATTGTCCCAGCGATTTCCACGTTGTGGAGTATTTGGCAACGCTGGGACCGCTTGGAAAAAGCGGGTGGTCGTTGTATGGAAGAAAGCTGGATAGAACTGGCCTCTGTTGGCCGTTCACGATTCCCTGGTTGGAGTCCTAAATATGATGCAGCCCTGTGGCTAGAGACGTTATCAAAGCATGAGTCAAAATCGAAGCCAGAAGAAATCCTGCTGTATCTTTCTTCATAAAAGTGAATGTACCTTTTTTAACTGAAATTCTTTCTGGTTCTGTTTTTGCTAGTACTATTATTTCACGTCCACACACTAATTTCTGTTCGTTGTTGTTGTTATTATTATACGCACTTTACATTATCTCTTTACAAACTTATTGTTATCGTGTGGCGCAAATGCATTTGGCACCCCGTTGTACTAATGTTTATGTTCAAATAAATAAGTCTTTTATCTACTCACCGCCAAGAATGAGTGCAGGTGCAGCGTCAGGTGAGTCTTGTAAAAGTACTTTGCATTTAGAATGTGCAAAGCTCATGTTATACCTATGGACATTGTTTGTCGACTGGCTACGTGAAGTTTTACCACGAATGTAGTTAAGTCTTCTTAATTCCTACATTTCATCTTTGAATTTTTCCCTTATTAGGTTAAATTATTTTTACCGTTTGTTAATAAAATAGATATCAGTTTTGACAAGTTTGTTTTATTTCAAATTGTATTTACATGAAACAGTACAGTACTTTTGTAAACAACTGCCGTAGACAAGACAAGATCAAGGCACCTAACCAACATAGATGAGACTACACTTATTTAGCTAAGACGTCATGTCGCACACACCTATTTGCTAATGGCTAGCACAGGACGATAAGTAAGTGTGGAGCTTGAGGCTGATGTGTGCGATAAACCTGACTCACACTGGCTCCTGATAACAACTTGAAATCCATCAAGGCTGAGTAGATATATCGTTATCGGCTACCCTTACTCTTAATTTAGAAGCGTTTTCTTACTTTCATCCTCTAGATTTACAAGTTTATCACGAAGAAGACCTTAGTTTTCGCCACTTACTGTTACCGCTTTGTTCCCGATTTTCACTATTTCCTGTGCTGTTATGAGATATAGTAATGAGTTAATACGCTGATGCTAGGCCTTATACTAACAGAATATTTAAACTTAAAATCCAACTATACAGTTGGTTATACCGCTAAATTCAACGGGATTAGTGGCTAAGTTTATTGGACTTATCGAAAATTAATCAGACTGAAACACTTAGGTATGATACAAAACGCATCAAATAATGCCAATGGACTCATGTATAGTAGGACTAATGTCTAAAACAGAATGTACATGCACGAGGTTTTTCAATAATCTAGGGGTTTTAAGACCATTTTAGGTAGTCGAAAACCTCAGATGTTTTTCAAATATAACTAAATACGCACCATTTATGAAAAAGATAAATGAGCCAAACCAGAACCAGTATCAAACACTTATAAAGACGGTTTGTCTATAAAACTTTTGCACCAGATGAGTTACTAGTGTACTACAAATGGCCAGGAAATAACAAATGGGTGGGAATCATCCTATTATCTACAGTAGTAGAAAGGGCATACGCTAAAACTATTACGAACACATCAACTTAATTCATTTTTAACCAAACAGACTCACTGATGGATAGAAAAAGCGAAATTGACGATCCCCAACAGTTAGTATGCAATTGTCAGTCAAAACGCAAGCATCGTTCAACGGGAAATTATTAACTAACATTTTGTATCGACCATCTACTCTGCTGACGGCTTGAACTAATCCATCTTTCAATAGTTGCAGGGTACAATGAAATGGAGCGACTGTTGAGTGTTGCACACGAATGTCACAAGACTGGTTACTGCGAAATGAGGTTGCAAGTGAATATATTATTTACCTCCCAATATCACACAAGGGTGAACACCAATCGCAAGTTAAACCATCAGTACCATCCCTACGGATGACAACTATATGTCCACTAGGATTCATACGTTTTACACGATTTCCAAACACTGATGGACGCAATTGGACTACTACGAATCCGCGACAGAGTTGAATTCAAATTCAGAAACACGGTACTCGACGGCCTCCAGCTAATATCATTTTAAAATAACAAAACACTGAATGGAAAACGGGCACCAAAGCATACTTGATATATAACTAAAAGAAGTTAGGTTTAAGTTATAAATATTCACATGCTTAAATTGACACATCGTCTGGTAAGGACTGTTTATCGATCCAATAATCCGAGCTGCTTCAATTGCCAATATCTTTCGATTAAGCTATTGTGTGCTATTTATTCGTCTTTCTGAGTAGAACAATATGTTGTGCCATCCTTCTTTGCTCTGTGCATAAGTCCCATCCCATGTATTTCTAGGACGTATCGATGATTAGTTTCAAGATAATGAGGTTTCAGAATCGAATATAGTCATATCACTAAACAGCTATTACACTAATCAAACGCAGTCAAGATATATGAAGAAGTAAACGCAAAAGTTACACGTGTAGTGGAGAAATAACGTCAATAGAAGCAATGAGATGGTATTTCATATGTACTTTACGACCCGGTGTTTTAACACAAATAGCCACCCTAATGGGTTCTTTCGAGTTTGATGATTGTTCCCTGATAGTCTTTGAAACGAACCAAAAGTTTTCAAGTCTGAATGTGACTTCACAAGATATTTGATATCACTGAACCTGTAGGATCTAGGTCTAGAATGGCTACTAGTGCACTTATCTATCGCAATAGGGTATAGATCTAGTTTAGCGTGACGTGCCTGCTTAGTCAACAACATCGTACGTAGAAGTCACATAGTTGTGTGTACTGACGTGTCCTGTCGAGAAAGTCAACAACATTTGAAGGAAACCTTTGGTTTGGAAATAGAATAATACACTTGTTACAATGATCTTGACGTTACACAGTGACTGAGCCTGCATGGCCAAGCCATGCTGTCACGATTAAGTGCTTCTGCGTTCACCTTCTCCGACCTTCTATAAGTGTTCATGAACTATTATAAATCCTCTAAGTCACTGAATGTTCAGCTTCAAGGATCATGTGGTAAGGAAGTAATATCAATACTGACATTCTTGAAATTATCATTAACATCCACTTTCTCTAGCAGCGAACGTGTTAGTAACTGCAGAATTATGATCTTCTATGATATTAGCACTGCTCTAATAATAGACCTAATCCTAAAATTGTAGATTCGTCATGATATAACTGCCTAATCTATAAGATTTTACGTGAAAGCCACATCATTGTCTACACCAACTCACTGTATCGTAACAGTTACCAGTACATGATGGAGAACAAGATTAGGCTAGAGAAAGAACAATGTATTAAATATGAATAAAAGATATAAGGTAACATTCAGCAGGGACCACGACTGCATGACCGAGCCATGCCATCCGATCAACTTTAATTAAATTCAATTCATTTTTTCCACCCTCTTCATCGTTTGGTATTTCTCCGTGTTAAATGCTGAATGTCAATTTCCCACACTGTCTCGTATTAGAGCCCAATTCCACTACATAACTACCATACCTCGCTCAAACTCCGTATCACAACGAAATTAATGTACATAGATAACCGCGGCTACGAATTCGTTTGCAGAAATGTCAAAATTTTAGGTCGATGTATTTCTGTGGGTGGTAGAGAAATTTGGTAGGTTTGGCATCTGAATCAATCGTCGAATGATTATGTTTCAAATTGATTAGCCTTTAAAAGGGGTGAACGAGCCATATTGTTAGAGTTTGATCAAAATAGTAAATCAATAAGGATGGGGGGAATGGTAATAAAACCTGAGAAGACAGATAGTCGCAAACAATGGAGTCAACAAAAATGACCAGCCGTTTGTGGATCAAGCAAAAGCCTACTCAAATATGATGCATGGCCCGATTATTGCGTTGAGAACAGAAATGAAGACTCCAGACTTCGACCATTTAGTACCAGCAAAACTAAGTGCACTAAAAGGATGCTTTTGTGTTGCAGATTTTCCATATAATCTCAAAACGGTTCACACTTCTTTTAATGAGCTTAAAAATGCCCTTATTTTAGAAACCTCAATCTTCACAATCTCTCTTCTTCCAAGCATGTGGGACGTTTTAGCCAAAACATTTCTGGTCAGTGATGAGTACACTTACAGTGCAGTCAAATATTTTATTTTGTTTTAACGACACATTGCAATTTCACACTGTGTACTCCTATTTCCGGTTGTTGCTTGTGTCTCATCGAATTTTTGTATTTATTGGGATTAGGAGTACTTTGTTGATAAATTTCACACTCATATCTAGCGTCGCGAAACCAATGGACCCAAAAAACTTGAGAAAATCGCCGATCATCGCTGAAAATAAATTTTTTTTCACAATATCTTGTCACCTAGCTTCAGCCATATGACTTCAGGGAAGACAGAATTCCAGTTCATTTTAATGGCTTTTATTGGTAGAGAAACCTGTAGCTGGTCAAAAGATTATACATTTCCTGATAATCCGATTCTACTTTCCTCCAGCAAATTAAAGAGGTTCCTAAGCGATTGTTCTGAAACTCTTGAAAGAGCACAGGTCAACGAATCAGTCCGAGTCCCTTATCGAACTATGGGAAATTTCACGTTATGGCTTGAGACTTAAGCTTTTGGTTTGAATTTCAGTGAAAAGCTGCACATATAACGTTACGATCTACGGACTGCTGTTATAAAGTGCTGAAAACTAAGAAACCAGCCTAAACAAATTATTCCCTGTACCTTCCAGACAACTAAATATTTCTGTTTTACCTTTGAGTTTATTAATAGTAACCCTTTTGGTGCTTGTCTTATTATCAAATATGAAATAAACCTCTAGTTTCTTCAAACAGTAATCGTTTCAATCTATTCAGACAAGTGAATAACGCGAAAACCACTTCAAATCCGACTTTAATAATAATGATAATATATTTCTACATGTGCAGGTACACGTCATTTTTACAGGCATGATCTATAAATTACAACAATTTCTGGTGCACAACATGCTTCCCAACTTATTAAGTTTATAGTTGTTATAAAGTAGACTCGTAGAGCGCTTGCAGGAAACCATGACCTTGAGGAGACGCATACGTCAAGCTTGTTCCAGACTTCAGAAGTTTGATAGCTGTGCTCTCCAAGCAAGATTTTGAAGACGAAAAAAGTGACACAGAAGAGCAGCAAGGCACTTGGATATAAACGCCAAACGTTGCTTAACGTTATGTAGTAGAACAGACAGAGGTATAATAAATTAGATTCATTTCATATAATCTCTTGTTAGAGTGAAATGAAGTCAGTGGCTCCATATACGAGAATGTAGTTATAAAGAACAGTAAATCCTGTCTTTCATGTGGTAAATTACATCTTCGTCATTCATATCAATGTCGTTGTGCACGTATCCGTAAATGCGGAATAATTAGACACGTATGGAAATTTTGTAAGTGTTTTAAATCATCTACTAAGACGTTGAATAGTTGTAGGTAGAAACCAATTGATTAAGACTTAAGTGTGGATTCGTTGTCGCACACTACCGCTCACAGCAATATTTTACACCCGTTCAAAACCTAATTACTAAAACAACCAAGTCCAACTCCTTCATCTTGCTGAGGAAAGAGGAGGATGCTTGTGTGATTATTTCTTTTTTGATGAGTACGACGCATCCATTATTGGGTCAAAAGGCCTCAGAATACCAAACGTGTGCATTTGTTTAGGCACCAGTTCTCCTAATAGTAGCTAAATCAGAGATCCAATCCTGCATTATTTAAAGACCGTCGGAGGTTTAAAAATGTAATCAGCACATTTGGAATCAAGGAGAGAGTTCGTCTTCTTGAAGTATCGGCTAATTTTATGTGTTTTATGAGAAACTGTGAAGAGTGAGTTGGATAAACTAGTTAAGAACGGATAATGACCCCCCAGTTGAGTCGTTTAGTTGGGCTACTCCCATTGTGACTTCATTAAAAGCGAATGTAAAGAGCACATAGAACATGTGGTGATAACCACTTGACACTAGATGCTCGGCTATTGCAGCAGAGCTGCGTCACTGAAGAAATTGAAGACATTTTATGTAAAGTACAAGAGTCATGGTATTTTTCAAAAACAGAATTCACTGTACGAGATCTCTAGCGAACTAACCGCTATTAACACATCATTCGGGCTGTTCAGATGTAAATTCATACCGTTCATACCATATGTTTAGTCCGAAATATTACACAGGATTATAAATCAAGTAATTACCAGTTTGATGGTATTGGATTGCATCAGTATTATGTCGTAGTTCATGCTGACAATATTGATTTGCACAACAAGCATCCTTCAATGCCGTTAATCTATCCTAGTGTCAGTTTCAATCTAATTATATCAAGTATCTAGGTCATACCAAAGTATATACTGAAGCTTACTATAATGTTTCGAAGTATTTGAATTATAGCACTAACTAAGAGTCCAAGAAATAACGCAATTGAATTAAGAAGTCATAAGCACAAACGAATGTACTGTATTTGGAATTCGAAATTGTGCAATCAACATGTACAAAAGTATCATTAGTCAATTCAAACACCACATCCGCCACAGCTTAAATAGAAGTATAAGTGTTTGCAATCGGTTGTATGTTTTCTTGTTAAGTTCATCCTGAGTCTGTCCGACATTGTACTGGACGAAAACTTTGTAGTATCTAGAATGTGCTCATTAGTATGGGAATTAACAAACGAAATCGGAACAGACTCACCTGGAATTGTATACAATCAACATATAAGTTTTGTACTGAAATGATTCATATCTCGAATTGGAACCATAGATTTTTAAACGCTATCCCCCCCACGAAGTAATTTTGGGTCTTTATATTCCCAAGTTATGAATAATGTGGCCTCATTAAAAAAATATTTCTCACATTGATTAGAGTAAACGTTAGAAGTGTTTTTGTGATAAGGATGAACAACAGTTGATATGAAATCATCAGAATTGTAATCAAAACCGAGCTCATTTAGTATTCGTGCTTTGCATTGAATAAGTTTTTCACAAGGAGCAAATGCATTATGAGGATAGGTAATACATATGACATCAGGATTTGATTCTACTGAAAT